CTGTTTTCTTCCATACATTTATACCAATCCAAAAATCTGAGTACCAGATAAATTCCCCTACTCTTTTTTATCCAAACTTCTCTCTAGCACTCTTCTTTCTACATATTCGCAGCAGCTCTTTGCATTTACATGACAACACACAAGTTGTCAGAGACAAATTTTGTCCCCCAAGGACAGGAGAAAAGGCCCCCTGGGATGCTGCTGTATAATCAATAAAGGAGGAGCAGGATGTCCAGCCTCGCAGGGCTGAGCATGAGACTAAATGAGTCCCTCCTGTTTCTAACCAAAGTGCAGGAGATGCCAACAAAAGTTTCCAAAAAAAAGCTTTGGAAAATGACCAATTTACATCCATTTGGTGGAGTGAAGGTGGGAAATGTATTGTCATAAATGAAAGTGCTGGGCAGGACAGGACTTCCTCATGCTTTTAGAGCTGAAAGCATAAGGAATTTCATTCAACAGCTCAACCTCTATGGATTCCTCAAAATGCAGTGGGTTTTCCAAAGATCAGCCTCACTTTCTGAATTCTTCCCAGAAGTAGCAGCACCTTCTCCTCATAACAAGGTGCAGCAGTTGCTTGGAATATCAACCAACTAATGATCAACTAAGATAAGACTTTGCAATATAGGAGATGAGGGTGGCAGTGAGTGGTATGGTTTTAACTTTCTTCTCATTTTCAGGAAGTTTTGAGTTAGTATTTCTGAATAACAGAAACATGGATGAGGCATTTTGTTTATATCTGCTTAGATTAAACCTGTACAATGGAAAGACAGACTCAGTGTAACCCGATTTCTTTGAATGTATCTGCTATGTCTCTTGCTGTACCACGTCTGAAATCTTCCTGTGGCACCTGCTGGATGCGAAGAAGATACATCTAAGGATCATATTATCACCTGACTGCTTGTCCCACACTCTGATGGCTGAGAAGTAGTGGTATTTAGCTTTCAAAAGCACTTTTTATGCTTTTGAAAATCCTACACTGCTCTGGTCCTGGATGGAAAAGCCTCAGGGGTGTTGATGACTTAACAGAACCATCGTGTAATGTGTTTAGCCTAAGTTTTGGTTTTCTAACGCCCCTGAGAATCCTTTTCAAGATCCATGTTTGCCTTTTGCAATTCAAAGTTTTAGTTCTCATAGCTTAGGATTTTCCAGTATCTACATGGTGGCAGCTGACTCTTCACCTTTGCTTCTTTAAGTTTCTCTACTACTATGACTCCAGCTTTAACAGAGAGCATCCCCACTGACTGGAGAGGTGCAAGAGAAGAGTGGGCCTCCAGTGGAGAGCCCCAGCTGCACTGAGACAGGATGTGAAGATGGATGATAGGCAACCCTCCCAAAGCCCAGATGGTCAACATCAGGTTTACACTTGGACAGGGATGTCCCACTATTGGACCCATGCAGCCAGAAGCCCCTGGGTCTGGCCTGTCTCCCTGCTGTCAGCTGTGGTTTGCAATGCCCACAAAGTGAAAAAATGTCCTCTACATCAGGTAGTGTGGGGAAAGCTACTAAGAGAGATTAAGAGATTAAAAAAAATAAATAGAAGGAGGAATAACAAGATTTGGAGGTTCCATTACTTAGCAGATACTTCCATCTTGAGTAGAAATGTTCTTTAAGACTGCAGAAAGTAGTGCCCAAATAAATTGTCTTGATTGCCTCTCAGACATTTAGTGTTCTTTACTCTGCAAGAGGTTAATAGACTGAAAGATTTTTTCTGAGCTTCCTCAGAGCTAAGAAATCCTTTGGGCCTTTATATGTGGGAAGATTCATACCATAATTATTTTTTTAGATGCATCTGGGACTGTATAATTTTGCAAATATGTTTTTCTTTGTGTCTTTACTCTTTTGTAGGGGCAAAGGGGAGGCATATTTACCAAAAAATCCAATATTTTTTTCCCCTAATAGTGATACCCATGTAACAACATTTCTGTTCCTATGGAGTATTATTTCTGCGTATGCTGTGCTGAGGCATAGAAATACACTGACTCATGGATGAAGGATTTTGACTTTTGAAATGTATTTCTTGTATTAATCCCACACAGATTTCTTCCTTTAACAATTCTGAATCATATTAATTTTTAATCACTTCAGTGCTACAGATAAACTTGAATTTAAAATAGGGCCTATTATAAGGGTTTTTTTGTGGTTAAATTTGTAGAGAAAATCTTCATGTGAGTTATGCTTGTGAAATTATGTAATTCACTATTTTGCTGGATGCAATTCTAGTGAAATATCATAAAACATAGTAATTTCTATGATTTAGATTTTATTCTTGTTTCTTTTCATTTATATTCAAGCCTCACCTTAAGATACTTCATAATAATTTAATTGCAGCTATAAAAAGTGCATTTTGCTAAGTATAATTCCTGTGCTTTTGTCATAACACATTACCTTTTTTATATAGTTAGAGTTCACTTAAATCGCATTTTCTCCATATTTCATTTAAGAAGAAATCTTACTCTCCTCAGTAGTACAGACTAGTCTTCCTGTGTTTTTCTGTGCTTTGAATTCTTAAATCACTTTCTTCTTTGAGGAAAAAATGTCAAAAGCTTAGGCCTGGCTTAACTGATTCCGGGTCTGTTTCTGAGGGGAAAGAATTCTGCTTCTGGTGTTGGTCATGCTGGTCTGAATAAAAATCTCTTTCAGCCCAATCAGGAATGAAATTAAAGGAAAGATATGCTAAACTAAATGAAAATACTCTCAAGCCACAGATTTCCTGTCTAGTAGTCATTTTTACCAGGTAAATCTGAGGCTTCTTCCATGGGACATTATAATTATTCTTATTTTATGAATGGATTGACTGGGGTTTGTATGAAAGATGTGGTAAAGAAAAACTAGAATCAATGAGGTGAAATGAAAAACAGATGGTTTGATTGTCTATGGCATATAAAATAATTTACTAAAATTTAGGTAGGATGTTGTTAGAGATTTCTGCTATCTTGTGCTGATTTTGTACAGTTAAGATACAAGGTATAATCTGTGTGGGTTTTTGGCAGTACTTTGTTGAGCAACAGGATTCCTGTGCAGGATTCCAGTGAGAATGTATCTGAGGATTTCAAGTGGTATCGTCCAGCCAGAGCATTGACTCTTTCATCAGTCTCTGTACTTCTTGTTACTGTCCAATGTTCTCCCTAATGCAGGACCTAAAGCAACCACAGTTACTCTGCTTGAAGCTTTAAATCAGAGAGGTGTGTTCTGTGATGCCCTTGTCCCTCTTCCTTATTGATGCTTACAGGAAAGTAGTTGATTAAACATATTGGGTAACTGTAAACAGTACTATTACTGTAGCTATTAAATTTACTGAATACTGCTGTCAGTACTGAAGCCTAATTTAGACACATTCATTATAGCAAGCAATAACCTTTGAAAGATTTGCAGGGTTCTGCAGCACCTGGTAATGAGCAATGTTACATATTAACTTGTTTCCTTCTATTACCAACAAAACAATTTTTGAAGTTATGCAGAGAAACAAGAATTTCTTGTCAATAAATTTATAAGTCAAGATACCATCGAAGTAAGTTAGCAGAGAGAAAGTGGCCTTTTAGGAGGTGCTTAGAATATTTCTTAATAGGAGCTTCCCATCTATGATGCAGCTGTAGTAAGTGGTGTTTATGAAGATCTAGGCAGTAGAGAGATTTGCTGGATTAAGCAAGGGAAATCATTCTTGTATGCAAGACAACATCACTCACTAGACAACCTGCAGACTTAGAGGTGTATCCTGGAAGATGCTGAGGATTCTCTCAGAATTGCTGCCAAATGCCTTTCTGCCCTATTAACACTCCTTGGTTTGATTTTTGGCTGTGCTTTAACCATAGCCAAAGCAAGTCTTAAGCTTGTTTTAAGCATTTCTTCATGTTATGGAAAATATTTGGTTGACATGGTAACCGTAGTAACTTTACTGCCCTTTCTTCTAGATGCCATCCAGATTATGGGTATCCATCAGGAATATTGATGCATGAAACAAGGTTCATACATCATAACTGGACATTTAGATGATGGGTAATTACATTTTGTGAAAGTGGTTTCCTCACAGTCACAAAGTCTATTTTAAGATTTAATTTAAAACAGTGGCTCTATATGTATGCACATTGCTCCATGTGTTACCATGAGGTCAGAGTATGCCTTCTAGGTAATAAATGCAGAGCAGGATTCTCTCCATGTATGTGGTTGTTCTCTTCATCAGAGGCAATCTCAGTGATTGCTTTCATGGCTGCTATTGACTGCCACAGAGCAAATCTGAGTTGTATTTTTTCTGGCTAGTTATGGTCTGCTCAAACCCTGTCACTTTATGTCGAATCTCTTTTCTTTTTCCATATGTAAAACTTTATCAACAGTGAATTTAATTTGCCATGTGACTCTCCAATCTCGTAAGACTTCTGTGTGAAGACAAAACCAATGCTGAACTTCATGCCCTTCACAGGGCTTGTTTGAGGGGCATTTTTTTCTTATGCAATTTTGCAAGCTGCTTTTTAGAATTGTCCTGCCCCCTCAAGGCTCAAATGCAATTTTTTTTGAGAGACCTTCTGCCCCATCCCTCCCGGGGAGGCTCACTCTCCAGTTTCCTAACCTCAGTGTTAAATAATTAGTTTTGGAAGGCTAAGCAGAAAATAAAATTAAATTAATAGATGCATTTGAATGGTAGCTTTGTGCAGTTCCTCTTCTGCAATTAGAAAATTGTCTCAAGTGCTGGTCTACTAAAGGTAATTATGAGCAAAAGGTTGAGTTCTCTTTTTTAATGAGTTCTGCCAGATGCTGAGAAGAAAATCTAGTCTGGTGCAGAGTATATTCAATATTCTAATTAAACCATTCCTCCCACTTATTGTAAGTCAAATTAGTTTGATCCAATTGAGAAACTAATGTTTTAGTAGGACACCTCTTTAAGACTTAACAAAATAGTTCCATGAAGCTTAAGCAGAAGGGTTTTTTTATGAAGCAAGTACCAATATCCACTGAGGGAAATGTAACTTTTCTTTTTTTTTCCCCCTTAATACTCTGAGTGACACTCGGTGATACCAATTGCAATTCTGGGTGTGGGGCATTTTCTCCTGGTTTTGCATGAAATTGCTATTTTTTTATTTTATTAGAAGGAAAAAAAATCAAGCATTTTTGGTGTTCTCTCCTAACTTAGAGGGATAATTTGTTTTTATTTACTTGCAGGAAAGTAATAAAAGCTTTATTATCAGAACTGCAGGAGATGGCTTATTGAAGGCATCAGCCTGAAAGCTCTTTAGTGTGTTAAGGACTAGAAGTAAAAATGCTTAACAGGGTTAGATTTAGGGGGTTTTGGGCAATTAAAATGAATAGTGTATTTCTTACTGAATTTCACTAGTTTAATGGGATTATACAGCATGAAGTCTTTTTCTGTTATGGTTATGGAAATATTATCAGGAAGTGGAGTGTTCATATCAGTAGCACAGGCAAAATTTGTCTTTATTGTTACTCAGACCTGTCCAGGCATATTCATTTAGGTAGGTGTACTGCAATGCTTTTTAAGGTACTCTATCCCATTTTTGATGTTCTGCTTTAGGAGGACATGCACTGCCTTTCCTGC